CCTCTGTCTTGACAATTATAGAGCTAAAGTTGGACTTCCAGGTTTACGTATTGCCTTCTTATTGCCCTTTTATTGTGTTCCTATTGCTCCTCTATTGTTGTTTTAGCACATTGTTTTTCACCTTTGTCTTTGCAATTACAAAGTTGAAAGACTATTAAGTTTAAGTATTGCCTTCTTATTGCCCTTATGTTGCTTTCCTATTGTACCTCTATTGCTGTTTTAACTCTTTTTTCACCTCTGTCTTGACAATTATAGAGCTAAAGTTGGACTTCCAGGTTTACGTATTGCCTTCTTATTGCCCTTTTATTGTGTTCCTATCGTTGCTCTATTGCAGTCTTAGCACTTTTTTTTTTCTTAATGTATGTCTTGGCAAACAAATTGTAGTTAGACTATGAATTCTTTGTATTGCCCCTTTATTCCACTACCCTTGTATTGCAACTTTCTTATGTATATATTAAAAATTTAATTTTTTTTTTTTTTTTTTTTTTTTTTTTTTTTCTTTCTTATGTATATCTTAAGATGTAATGAGATAACATTGTTAGTTCATCAATTTATGAAGGTCAAGTTAGAAGGAAATTTGTCAATCTCTAGTTTCCATGGTTTTATTGTTCCCTTTGCAAAGAAGGAAAAAAAAATACAAATGTAACCAAATCAGTGATTTAATTGGCAAATGACATGACAGATATGTATTGCATATGTATTGCACATGTGTAGCCCTTTATTGCTTGTGTATTGCCCTCGTATATCTTTTTTTTTAAGTCTGTAGGAATAAATTTATAACGGGATTATGAAGTTTTTGTATTGCCATTGTATAGCCTTTTATTGCTTGTGTATTTCTACTGTATTGCCCCTGTACATCTTTTTTTTCAAGTCTGTGTTGGAATAAATTTATAGGGGGGTATGGAGTTTGTGTATTTCCATTGTATAGCCTTTTATTGCTTATGTATTGCCATTGTATAGCATTTTATTGCTTGTGTATTGCTATTGTATTGCCCCCGTATATCTTTTTTTTTTAAGTCTGTGTTGGGATAAATTTATAGGGGAGTATGTGTATTGCCATTGTATAGCCCTTTATTGCTTGTATATTGCTAATGTATTGCCCGCGTATATCTTTTTTTTTCAAGTTTGTATTGCAGGTATGAAGGTGGGGATGGGGATGAGAATGGCATACCCACCCCCAATTTGACCAACTGAATCAGAAAATTTGAATACACAATATAGGCCCAAAAATGACAGATGTTAACAACAATGTAGCACATAGAATACACAAATACATACAAAATTATGAAAATTTAACATAATTCACAATCCACAGAACACCAAACCTAATACAAATATAATTCAAATTCACACTCCATAACAAACCAACACAATTCATAATACATGTCCAACATTAGGTAGTGGAACATTGTTTTTACAGGTGCTTTTATTGTGGCCTGTGCCACTGCACCTTGAGCATTTTCTCCTTATGATATCCTCTCCTTGCGAGGGAATCCTTAACTTTTTTCGTCGACCCGGCATGACCTTTGCATTTGGAGGACGCACAACTCTACTTTGGACATCTTCAGGAATAACCCACAACTCTTGAGGCTGTACCGGGTAGATGGTATCTGAATAAGCATCCAACCATGTATTTCGAGTGTAATAACGAGAAGCCATGGAGTATACATTTAGTTTTAAGAAACGGCAAACTGCAACTACATGCTTGCAAGGTAGTTGCTCAAGCTGAAACTTCCTACAACTGCAAGTGTTATTCGTCAAATGTACGTGGCCGTCCATATCACCGTCCACGACATTATACTCTACGTGATTCAGTTTCACAACATTCATCCTTGAAGCACATTCCAACCTGCGTCTCAACTTTTTCTCTCCAAAGTCAGGGCACAATGTTGATGTACATTTCAAAGCAAAATCACGACGTTTACTAAACCATTTCACAAGCAGATTGATGATTTCATCAATCAAATGCAGCACAGGTAGCATCCTTGCGAACCGAAGGACTGAGTTGATTGACTCCGCAATATTTGTTGTCATTACATTGTATCGACGTCCATCCATATGCGCTCTAGACCACTTGTGTAATCCTGCACTTTCAAGATATTGAGCAACCTCATCATTGCCCTTGATCTTGTGAAAATGACGATCAAATTCAGCGATACCATAAGATTTCGCGGCTTGTTCAAAGTATAGCAATAATTTATCACGTTTTTTCAATTTGAAAGTGCGTTTCATGTTCCCCTTCATATGGTAAAAGCATATGCCATGTTGCGCCGTTGGAAAAATGTTGTGCCACACATTTTCTATGCTAATATTCCGATCAGAAATAATCACAAGATTTGGACACTCACCAATAGCTTCATGAAGCTTGCTGAAAAACCAATGCCATGATGCATCCGTCTCTAAATCCCCAATTCCAAAAGCAAGAGGATATATATTTCGATTTCCGTCAAATGCATTGGCAACAAAGAGGACACCTTTATACTTACATTTTAAATGCGTGGCATCCACAGCAATGACTGGCCGCATTGAAGATTGAAACCCTCTAATACATGCCCCAACAGCCATAAAAAAATACAAAAAGTGATTGTTCTCATCGGTGTGGATGTATGTCCTTGTGCCAGAATTCACACGTTCTAATTCATGACAATAAGCTGGAAGGAGAGAATATGCCTCCTCTACTGAACCTCTAGTGGACATTAGAGCTAACTCCCTCGATCTCCAAGCTTTGCAATAATTAATGGTGACACCAAAGTTTTGTTTCACATCTCTGATTATATCACTTGGTGTGTATATTGTGCGAGAATCTTTCAATTTCCGCTTCACTGCATTACCAACGAGTTTAGCACTTGCGTGACGATGCTTGTCATGTATAAAACTCATATCACATTCATGGACCGGATTATATTTCACAATCATGAAGTTCTTTTCTCCATAACTAGATGCACGAAGCCGCCATGGGCATGAACCTTGAGAACAAACCACAACCAATCGACTCTTACAAGACTGCTTCACCTTAAATTCAAAGTGACCTCTTACTGCCGCCAACTGTAACTTGTTGGATAGGGCTTCCTTACTAGAGAAAATTTTCCCAACTTCCAATTTTGGATCCCAATTATTCCGTGAATACGCACTTTCAATATCTTCTTCTTCTTCATTTACAATACCCAAATTGTGCACGTTTTGTTCACCCATTTGCCTCCAATTATGTCGAATAGAACGTTCAGACGTTGTTTCGGAACCCACCACACCCACTTGTGAAAATGTCTCCAAATGGGCCAAAATAGGAGGGGCTGAGTGCATTTGCAAGCCATTCATTTCCGTACCATTATCACCACTATGCACCCCCTCCACCCCTGTAAAATCAATCATGTCTAAATATTGTGTTCCAAAATCACCATGTACATCACCATTGCTTTCAACTATGGCATTTGAAGAACAGGCCATTCGACTCATATCCGTCGTGATATGCATACGATCACCTACGACATTTGTCACTCCTTTGTCTTCTATGCTCACCAGTAAAGGAGCCACTTTCGAAGGAATTACGTCACAACTGTACTTAATAAAAAATTTAACATCATCATTGTCCTCAATCTTGATATGCTTACACTCATTCGAGGATATTGAAACTAAGAACTTTAAACAAAGCTTGACTTCCCTGTTGTCTGTATTAACAATCTTATGTACCCGTTCCAAAAGCTCACCAAATGTGATGTTTCGCGAAACTATTATGCCTTTTGTGTCACCCCCTTCATATGTGCACATCTTCTTTGAGGTTACCCATTTTCCATTGTAGCAAACCAAAATTGCAATTGTGTCCATTTCTGACCATCATAAAATTTCCTTTTGTTAACACATGTAAAGCTACCAATAAAAAATCTATCAACTAGTGGATAAACCATATAGATAAAACATCAATAACCAACAATTTTAAAACATCAGTATTATGCAAAATGAAACGGTTCAGCTAGTATAGCTGTGTTTCAAGCTCCAGCAAGGAAGGCATGTATCAAGAACTCTTAAAGTTAAATCCAACTCAAAGTCATTAACCTAGGGTATCCTATTACTAACTAACTACTTACAAATTGACAAACCTTGACTGTCCAAGATTATTTCATATTGAATATCATACCACCCAAAAGAGTGAATACATTACTTTCAAGGAGATCTGCAAGTCCAAGTCTCAATCACAAAACAGTGTATACATCATTTCAAAGATAAATCATAAGCACAATAAAATGTATCCAAGTCCAAGAGCTTAACAACCACATGAAATAGTTGGTAAATTTCATTCAATAACAGAAACAGCAAGCCACAACAGAAACCCATTAATATCTTATTCAAAACAGTGAAAGCAATCACCCAATAATCTCAATCAATCAAAACAACCCAAAACCAAAAATCCAAAAATAAAAATAAAAATATCAGAACTCACCACAGTGAAGATCGACGATGACGGTGCCGTGGCTTTGTGGTGGAAGTCGACAACGGAGGTGGCAAGTCAAGACTGTGGCTTCTTTATGGAGGCCAACAACGGAGGTGGCGAGTCGTGCCTTAGCTAGGGTCCTATTCCAAATTTGGGGTTCAACCTTGAGGTTGAAATCAGCTCCTAGTTGGAAGACATAACAAAGAGGAGATAGAGTTAGGGGAGATTCTATGGTTGAGATGGATTTTGTGAGGTTTGTCAGAAGGAAGAAGAGGAAGAGAAAGAACAACGATTGAGAAAAAAAAAGTGAAGGAAGGGCAATAGGCTGTCAATAATGAGTTTTTATAAGGGGTATTTGTGATTGAGTTTCAAAATAAGGATATTAATGAATAAATTAAGTGAGCCAGGGGTAAAGCCGCCAATTTCCCTTTTTTTTTGGATTTCTTTTTTCCTGGCAGGTTCAGGCATCTCTGCAAATACATTTTTGTCAATTCTGAGTAATGTAATCTGGGTGAAATGCACCTTTTGGATCCATAAGATGGGCAAAAAGAGTAAATCAAAAACTCCCAGAGAGATGCAAGATAATACAGCTGCTGTAGAAGAGGAAAACCCCTCATTTTCGGCCAAGAAATTGCTGAATCATTGGTTGAGATTCAGTTCAGGTTTACCTGAAACAAACATAACACTTAATAGTGAGTTTGAGAGGATACTGTTGGACTCCTCATGGCAACGTGCCACGCCTGAAACCTTGGAAATTGGCAGAGGTGGGGTTGGCCCATTCGTAACTAGTGTCTTTTTGTGTTGTGGGGTGGGGGGGGGAAGGATTGGGTGAATATAGTGTTTTCTAATTAATGTTGTCTATGCCACAATGCAGGCTGCATCCCTCAAAGAAAAGATTAACCGAATGTTTGGTGGAGAGCATGTACGTTTCAAGTTTATCTTCCTTCGGTCGAGTATTATGTGGATAATACATTTTTTTCAATTCTCAGTAATGTAATATGGGTGAAATGCAGCTTTTGGATCCATAAGATGAGCAAAAAGAGTAAATCAAAACTCCCAGAGAGATGCAAGATAATACAGCTGCTGTAGAAGAGGAAAAACCCTCATTTTCGGCCAAGAAATTGCTGAATCATTGGTTGAGATTCAGTTTAGTTTTACCATGCATATATTTTGGTTTTAATTTATGTTTCAATTACTAGGCATATATATGAAGCCTCATCTGATCCTACTTTCTGCAACAGGAACACTTGGAGAGCAATGAGGGTGATCCTGAAGAATGTCATTGCTGTTGGTATCGGTGGCAGCTTCTTAGGTCCTCTTCAAACAAGTTTAGATGATTCTTTCCATGCATATATTTTGCAGTCTTGTTTACTATTTAGTGTGAGTTTCCTTGTGAAAATGATTAAGATTTCTTTGGTATAAACTTTGGGTAGTGTTCACTGGTTTGATTACATTTTGTAGATCCAAAGGCTATCGAAACAGCAAGGGGAAGGCAACTGCATTTGTAAGTACTTACGTATCGATTTTTGAGTGCTTATGGTTTCAAATGTTCTTTTTGTTTATATTTGAAAGCAATCTGTATTCTGTGTGTTGATTGGAGTTGTGGTGGTTGAAGAAACATAGCCCATATTCAGGGACTATGTTAGATGCATTCTGTGTAAATATTTGGTTCTAGTCTTGGTAGTTGGGTGCGTTAAAGGATTATATGCGTATTTTTATCAGAGGATGGATGATTCTGGTCGAAGGGTATTCTAATAATTTGCTTTACCCTGTGTGCAGTCTTGCAAACGTTGATCCTATTGATGTTGCGAGAAATATTACAGGGTTAAATCCAGAAACTACCCTTGGTAAGCATTAAGTTTACTTACGTGTATAATACAAATATTAAACGGAAAAATACTAAATTCTTTATATGTGTATTATTATCTCTTTACTGACATCTTGTGTGGTTTCATTAAGCTTAACTTTTTGTTATTATATATCCCCCCAAGACTTCCCAAGGGGAAGGCATATTCAGAGACTATGTTAGATGCATTCTCTATGTAAATATTTGGTTGTAGTCTTGGAAGTTGGGTTAAGGGATCAGATGCATTCTGTAAAAATCCACTAACATGGCCCATAAGGAGTGGCAGTATTCCATTTCTGATATTTGCAGTTGTGGTAGTTTCAAAGACCTTTACAACGGCTGAAACTATGTTGAATGTTTGAACCCTTAGGGAATGGATTTCATCTTCTCTCGGGTTAGTGCACTGCTAGCACTTCTTCAAGTATATGAACACGTTGTTTCAGTTCAGGATTTTTGCTTAATAATCTTTGGGTTAATTTAAACAACCGTGAATGAGCTTGGGAGTGGGCGGGAATGAATCATATTTGGAATAGCTTAGTAATTTTATAATTGAATAATTTAGTCCTCAACATGGTATGATGGAGTGAAGGTTTATTATGTCTTTGTAGTTAATCATTGAGTTTGTCAGATAAAATGTAAGTTTTGAAGATCTGTCTGCCCCTCTCTCTTTCTCATGATTGAGCGTAACAATTTCAGGCCTGATGCAGTTGCAAAGCATATGGAATGGTAGGAGTCAGCACTAATCTTACAGTATGGAAATTTCCTTTGTTCTCTTCGCCTCCAAGACTTCCCAAGGGGCTCAGACTGCGGTTGAGTCTTGTCGACTGTAACAAGACTCCTAACACCGCCGAACAAATCAGAACCAAGCTCCGGCTCGCCGATCTTCGCCGATGGGTCTTTCTTTCTATCTCTCTTCTATTTTCATTTTTTTTTCTTTTTAACCGCATGAAAATTTGTCTCCTTGATTTTGTTCTCTCTCTCTCTCTCTCTCTTTTCTTGAATTTGTGATTTTCTGTTTGCTCACTGAGAAAATTTGATCGTAGTTTGGTTGATCGAACGACTGAACTGACCCAAATAGTTCAGTCTAGAACCGTTCTTTTCTTTGAACTCGGTCCGGCTATACTCCGGCTATACTCGGTTTAAGAAATAGTATAGCCGCCCGGCTATGCACGGCTTCTTCCAATTTTTACTTTATAAATAGCCGTGGGGCTATACTGGGTTTTGCGAAATTTTTTAAAAGAAATTATATAGCCGCACGGTTAAACCCGATTTTTTAAAATTAGTCTAGCCGGCCGGCTCTACGCTGTTTTTAATTTTTTTTAGAGAAATAGTATAGTCGCGCGGCTATACTTCGGTTTTTCCTTCATTTTTTTTACCTTATTAATCTTATCAAATCCTAATTAATAAATATTTTCTTGAGTTAAACCTAATCATGAGACATTTACTAAATGATGACAAAACTTCACAAACAAAAATCTATATACTCTGAACCATTTAAACTAAGATTCATGCAAACCTACCATCATTCAAAACTAAAACATAGTATGGAGCTCTAAGAAGTCGTGGGGGCCATGCTATATTGTGTAATCACCACCATTACAAAAGCGGCACCAAAACAAGACAATCATTCTTGTGCAGGAAAGCTTTACATTGCTCTTAATCAAACATACTACCCTCAAAGGAAATACTTGTGCAATCTTTGTTGAACAAGCATAAAACAGAAAACTGTAGGCACCGCCAAACTTAAGCACATGAGTGTTCTGTAGAAGCTAAGTAACAATTTATAGCTTGTGCAAATATTTCCGACCAAAGTAAGTACAGGCACCGCCCATTCTCTTTATAACTTTCTTTTGTGTGGTCTTGTATAATTTATTAATTTTCATTACAGAAGCCCATCATCAGAACTTACATTCAAAATCAATGTAAAGAGACATCGTTGCTACTTACTTTGGATGGTGGCGATGGCAGTTGCTGGTAGTGTTGGCTCGTGGCAATGACGATGGCTGCTGCCCTAGGGCTAGGAACATAAAACGATGAAATGGAGAGGGGAAGCAAGAAGGAGCGGCTATGAGAGAGTTATTGACAAATTTTTTAAAGAGTTTGGAGCAGATTTCTAGTGTCCTGATGATACAGAGTCCCACATCGGTAAAACAAGTGACCACACAAAGGTTATAGGGACTTACATAACACTTCAAATTGCCGAGCCTAGTAGCATGGCCTTGTAACTAAGCAGGGCTTTAAAGTGATTGGTTGCTATGGAAACCTTCGTAGGTGTGAGACATAGTGGTCTTGGGCTGTTCACCTTGGCATTAGTGGTGAAGTTGGGTAGCAACCAAACCAGAAATATATGAGAATTTGATTGGGGGGTTACTTCCCCACACAGACCAAGATTCCGCTTGCCTCAGTGTGCTACCCGGGAATAGAGCCCCTCATCACACAATCACTTTTTGCAGAGGCGTTGCTTTGCCGTATGGTACAGTTGTCGTGTTTAAAGAGTCATGCCAAACGCCAGCGTCTTGTTAATTTTAAGAACATAACATAAGCCTAAGGTCCTGCTTCCTCCATTCCTTCACAATAAAAATTTATTAAATTAATTAGTGCCTTTTGTTTTATGTTCTCTCTCCCCCCTTTGACTAGCTCTCAGCCATCCAACCACCCACCAATTTCTAACGGGAGCCTCTCCTTCAATCTATTCAAACAAGATGTGAAGCCTATCTTATAAATTTGACTTCATATCCAATCTATGACTGTCTAAATCAATCTAGGGCTAAAGAGAGGCTTGAATTGTTTCAATTTATGAGTCAATGACCTCACAATATATATGGATCATATGTTTTACATATTATTAACACACTAATATATTTTTATTTTTAATAATTGAATGTTCAAAAGGTTTACACCTCGTTTTGCGAGATATAAGATACTTTGTTTCAATGCCTTGCTTTTCAAAACATTAATGCAAGTACTTCTTTATTTTCTTTTTCTTTTTTTTTGGGTAAGGAATTTAGGAAGAAGATATGTGACTCAAAGGACATAACATATTTTTGTTGAATAATTAACAGCCACCATCCATTCGGGTTAACCCCAAAGCCTCTTGTTATTAATTTTTTTTTATTTTTAAATACAACGGAAGTGTAAACCAAAACAATAGTATAGCTGCGTGGCTAGACTCGGTTTTGCCCTTTTAAAAAAAAGAAAAAGAAATAGGCTATACTCGGTTTTGCTAATTTCCTTAAAAGAAATAGTATGGCCGCGGCTAAACTCGTTTTTTTTTAAGAAATAGTATAGCCAAGCAGTAGTACTCTGTTTTTAAATTTTTTTGAAAGAAATAGTATAGCCGCGCGGCTATACTATTGTTTTTATATTTAAAAGGTATAGCCGTTCGGCTAGACTATTTATTAAAATAAAAAAATAAAAAAGAACCCGCCTAGCCCGCCTAGGCGGCCCATTTTTCGAAAACTTGAATGGCGTGTGTTTTTTTTTAATTTCTTTTTTTCCGGCTTGATAACTCAGTCCTTGGTAAAGTCAAAAGTATCAGTTTATCTTCTTATCTTAGGGGTCCTCCTCCTACTCCTTCTCCCGCTCTGTCTCCAGAGCCAACAATTTCTCCATATCCTGCTTCTCCAGTTCCCCCCAGCACCATCCAAGGTACCTCCACATCCTCGTCCATGTCCATACCGCGGTTCTGGAATTCCTCCAAGCTCCTCACCAACTTCTCATCTTAACCCTACTGTTCCTCCTAGTTATGCACCTAATGGTTCCCCTTACTCGCCTTCTGGGAGTCCTTATACGAGTCCCTCATCTCAATTCCTCCAAGCTGAATCACTGGTTGAGATTCAGTTCAGGTTTACCTAAAACAAACATAACACTTAGTGAGTTTGACGGGATAGTGTTGGACTACTCACGGCAACGTGCCACGCCTGAAACCTTGGAAATTGGCAGAGGTGGGGGAAGGATTGGGTGAATATAGTGTTTTCTAATTAATGTTGTTGTCTATGCCACAATGCAGGCTGCATCCCTCAAAGAAAAGATTAACCGAATGTTTGGTGGAGAGCATGTACGTTTCAAGTTTATCTTCCTTTGGTCGAGTATTATGTGCATAAATATGGAATTAAAATGCTAATTTGAACACTTTTTTATCTGCAATTAGCGAGAAGTGTTTCCTATTTAAAAATAAAAAAATATTTTCTGATATAGGGGAAGCGATTAAAATTTGGGACCTCTTCGAACAAAGTAGAGAGAAGTACCAGTAGAACAATAGCTAGTTTGTTGAAATGTAAGTAGTGAGCTGATAGGAAATGGAATTAAGCCTGGTCAGCTAATGGTGTATTCTCTCAGTCATTAAAAATGACTGGTGTTAGGCTTTAGTAGTAAAAGGTTTATAAGCCACGTGTAATGTTTTTATTAAGCAATTATAGATGAAGGGCTGAGATACAAAGTGATGTAATTGTATCCAGCTAGACATATAGCTCACAGATAGCGTGCTCATTCAAAATAGACAGAACAGTGCAATAGAAGAAAATACATACGATTTGATTCATTCTCAGCTCTCTCTTCTCTCTGCATTCTTTCTTCTCTCTCAACCTATTCAAAACTCTAACATGGCCTCAGAGCCAGGTTGGGTCTTTTGATCTGGGCGTAATCTGTGAGGTCACTGAGCTCAATTGAAGCTCAGCTCAGCAACTGAGAAGAAATTGCTTGAATCGGACCAAAAGATGGCTGGATCTAGAAGTTCTGAAGTAAGAACCCCGATCTTCTCCGGTGAGAACTACGAGTTCTGGAGGATTAAGATGACAACGATTTTCAAATCGCTTGGGCTATGGAGTCTGGTAGAAAAGGGGATTCCAACTCCTGATTCGAAGAAGAAGAAAACGGCTGAAGAGGCATCAGAAGAAGAACCTGATGCAGAGATGATCGCTGTGCTCATGAGGGACGCGAAGGCTCTGGGCATCATCCAAAACGCAGTTTCTGACCAGATCTTCCCTCGGATTGCCAACGCTGACTCAACCAAGATGGCGTGGAATCTGCTTCATGGTGAATATCACGGTGGTGATCAAGTCAGGTCAGTGAAACTTCAGAATCTCAGAAGAGAGTTTGAGTATATGAGAATGCGTGAAGGTGAACAATTAACTGCATATCTTACTCGGTTGAATGAGTTGATAAATCAAATAAAAACATTTGGAGAAGTGTTATCAAACGAGAGGCTGGTTCAAAAGGTATTAATTAGTCTTAGTAGAGTCTATGATCCTATCTGTTTGGTGATTGAAAATACAAAGAGTTTGGAGACTATTGAATTGCAGGAGGTTATTGCAATATTGAAGAGTCAAGAGCAGCGGTTTGATATGCATAATGTGGATACAGCTGAGAAGGCTTTTGGTTCTTTTTCAGTTGAAACAAAAGGGCAGAATAAGAATGGTTCTCAAACTGGTTCTGCTAAATCTCAGAAGAATTGGAAGTCTAACAATAAACCATGGGAGTCTAGGCAGAAGCCACAACAATCTGGTGCTGCACAGACCTCAAATGGATCACAATATGTGCATCAAGATGGAGTGAAGCCTCAATGCAAAGTTTGCTCGAAATTCCATTTTGGGGAATGTAGATATAAGGGCCAATCTAAGTGTTATAAGTGTGATAGATTTGGACATTGGGCTAGAGATTGTACTGCAAACAAAGGAGTGCAGAAAGCAAACAATGCAAGTCAAGTAGAAGTTAGAGGAAATCTGTTTTTTGCTAATTGTGCAATTTCAGAGAAGAGTGCAAATGGAGAATGGTATGTAGACAGTGGCTGCAGTAATCATATGACTGGGAACAAGGAGCTGTTAATTGACATAAATCCAAGTGTCACAGGCAAGGTACAAATGCCAACAGGGGAGCTTGTAAGCATAGCTGGCATGGGCACTTTAGTGCTTGACACAAACTCTGGTACAAAGTTTATCAAGGAGGTCATGTATCTGCCTGGTCTGAGAGAGAACTTGTTAAGTGTGGGTCAAATGGATGAACATGGTTACCATTTGGTGTTTGGAAGCAATATGTGCAGTATTTTTGATGATGCTTCACTGGAAAACCTTATTATGAAGGTGGAAATGAGAAAGAATAGATGTTATCCATTGTCTTTGTCTTCAAATACCTATGTTGCATTAAGAGCTGGTGTGTCTCACTTTACCTGGATTTGGCACAAGAGAATGGGGCATTTACATTTAAAAGGGCTGAACCAGCTCAAGGAAAAGGAGATGGTGCATGGTCTGCCACATCTGGAAGCTGTAGATGGAGTCTGTGAAGGATGTCAGTTTGGGAAACAACATAGAGAATGGTTTCCTAAGAACCAAGCATGGAGGGCAAGTACACCCCTTGAGCTAATACACATGGACTTGTGTGGACCAATGCAAACTGAGTCCTTGGCAGGTAATAAATATTTTATGCTGCTCATAGACGATTTTACAAGGATGACTTGGGTCTACTTCTTGAGATACAAGTCGGATGCACTAAATTGTTTTCGAAAATTCAAGTCTATGGTGGAGTTGCAGAGTAGTTACAAAGTGAAATGTGTTCGAAGTGATAGAGGGGGTGAGTTCACATCTAGTGAATTCAATAAACTGTGTGAAGATGGAGGAATTCAAAGACAGTTCACCATGGCTTACACACCCCAGCAGAATGGAGTGGTAGAAAGGAAGAATAGGACAGTGGTGGAGATGGCTAAGGCTATGCTACATGAAAAGGGGTTGCCTTATTACTTATGGGCAGAAGCGGTACACACTGCAGTGTATCTGTTGAACAGGTGTCCTACCAAGGCTCTTAGAGACAAGACTCCTTTTGAAGCATATAGCACAAGAAAACCAGGTGTTGCTCATTTGAAGGTATTTGGCAGTGTGTGTTTTGTGCATAAACCAGAAGAAAATAGACAAAAATTGGATGCCAAAAGCACAAGGGGAGTGTTTGTTGGATATGCAACATGTGAGAAGGGTTATAGGGTGTTTGATCCTGTCACTAGAAAACTTATACTGTCAAGAGATGTTGTTTTTGATGAAGGGGCAACCTGGAATTGGAAAGAAGCAGCTGAAAATTCTGTGATAATGGTGAATGAAGAAGAACAGCCTAGGAATTCTCAAGTGGAAGTGTTTGAGACACCTGCAGGAAATAGAAATTCTGGTTTCAGACCTTTAGACTCAGTTTCTTATGGAGGATCAAGCAAGGCAAGCAGCAGATTGGAAGACACTCAGAACTTTGATCACACTCCTTTGAAATGGAGGAAGTTGGATGATATTTTGGCACAATGCAATCTGTGCACAATGGAGCCTGAGAAGTTTGAAGAAGCTGTGAAGGATGAGTCATGGATGAAGGCAATGAAAGATGAGTTGAACATGATAGAAAAGAATGATACATGGGAGCTTGTTGACAGGCATATGGATAAACCAGTGATTGGGGTTAAATGGGTGTTTAAAACTAAGCTAAATCTGGATGGTTCAGTTCAGAAAAATAAGGCAAGGTTAGTAGCTAAAGGATACTCTCAAAAACCAGGGGTGGACTACAATGAAACGTTTGCACCTGTGGCTAGATTAGACACAATCCGAACTCTAATTGCACTAGCTGCACAGAAGAGTTGGCAGCTGTACCAATTAGATGTTAAGTCAGCTTTTCTAAATGGTGTCTTAGAGGAAGAAGTGTATGTAGATCAGCCGGAGGGATTTGTGATAAAGGGGAGTGAAAGCAAGGTTTACAAGCTGCACAAAGCTCTCTATGGCTTGAAACAGGCTCCAAGAGCTTGGTATAGTGAAATTGATGGTTATTTTGCTGAGTGTGGTTTCACAAAGAGCCAAAGTGAAGCTACTCTTTATGTCAAAACAAGAGGTGAAGCAAGCATATTGATAGTATCCATTTATGTAGATGATATTGTCTACACTGGAAATGATCAAGAGATGTTAGAAGACTTCAAGAAGGACATGAAGGAGAAATATGAAATGACTGATCTGGGGCTCTTGCATCACTTCTTGGGAATGGGAGTCATTCAAACACCAACAAGCATATTCATTCATCAGAAGAAATATGCAACAACTCTGTTAAACAGATTTGGTTTGAGTGAGTGTAAACCGGTGTCTATTCCACTAGTTACCTCAGAGAAACTAAGTAAGGATGATGGGAGTGGTTTGGCAAGTGAAGAGCAATATAGAAGGATTGTTGGGAGTCTGCTGTATCTCACAGCTACTAGACCCGACATTATGTTTGCAGCTAGTCTGCTTGCAAGGTTTATGCATTGTCCCACTAGCAAACACCTTGGAACAGCAAAACGTGTCCTTAGATATGTAAAAGGAACCTTGGATTATGGTCTGGAGTATGTGAAAGGAAAAGGGGCAGTTCTAATTGGCTATTGTGACAGCGATTGGAGTGGCTCAGTGGATGATAGCAAGAGCACATCTGGATACGCTTTTTCTTTTGGGAGTGGAGTGTTTGCTTGGGCCTCAGTCAAGCAAAATTGTGTTGCACTCTCTACTGCAGAAGCTGAATACATCAGTGCCTCTGAAGCAACAACACAAGCTATTTGGTTGAGATTTGTCCTAGAAGACTTTGGAGAACTTCAAACAGAAGCTACACCTCTCCACTGTGACAACATTTCAGCTATTGCCATTACAAGGAATCCTGTTTTCCATCAGAAAACCAAGCATATTGATCGGAGGTATCATTTTATTAAAGATGCTTTGCAAGAAGGAACTGTGGATTTGATCTATTGCCCTACGAATGAGCAGCTAGCAGATATCTTTACAAAGGCTTTGGCCAAGGATCGGTTCAGCTATCTTAGAGAGAAGCTTGGTGTGAAATCAGCTCACAACTTAAAGGGGAGTGTTGAAATGTAAGTAGTGAGCTGATAGGAAATGGAATTAAGCCTGGTCAGCTAATGGTGTATTCTCTCAGTCAATAAAAATGACTGGTGTTAGGCTTTAGTAGTAAAAGGTTTATAAGCCACGTGTAATGTTTTTATTAAGCAGTTATAGATGAAGGGCTGAGATACAAAGTGATGTAATTGTATCCAGCTAGACATATAGCTCACAGATAGCGTGCTCATTCAAAATAGACAGAACAGTGCAATAGAAGAAAATACATACGATTTGATTCATTCTCAGCTCTCTCTTCTCTCTGCATTCTTTCTTCTCTCTCAACCTATTCAAAACTCTAACATAGTTGGTGTCTCCTAGATGCCCAAATTTCTAACCTTTAACTGTCTGAAATCACAAAAACTTATATTTGATAGCTTTATAGGATTTATGGTAAAGATCATGAGACCAGCTTATTTCTGAAACCATTGTCATGTGATCCTTTTGCATTCTGTTTTTCTTTTTCTGGGTGGTGCCTTCTCATAAACAGCACAGAAAATAGATCAGTGCTTCATGTAGCTCTTCATGCTCCAAGTCTTGTTTACTATTTAGTGTGAGTTTCCTTGTGAAAATGATTAAGCTTTCTTTGGAATAAACTTTGGGTAGTGTTCTCTTGTTTGATTACATTTTGCAGATCCAGAGGCTATCGAAACAGCAAGGGGAAGGCAACTGCATTTGTAAGTACTTACGTATCAATTTTTAAGTGATTATTTTCCAGTTCTCTATATCAATGAATTAAGAGCCGGTAAGATGCTAATGGTATGAATCCATGTCTTGAGGCTTTTGAAGTGATTTCACACTACTGCTGTCAAACATTGCGGATTATCGTTCGTTCATTGCTGAAACTACGTTGAATGTTCGAAGACCTATACTTTTTAAATATATTATTTGAGAAGTACAGCCGCGCACATATATTATTTGAGGAGTACAGCCGATCGGCTATACGTGTTAAATATATTATTTAAAGAGTTTAGCCGCCCGGCTATACTATTTATAAATAATAAAAAAAAGGAACCGCCTAGCCCGCCTAGGCGGCCGACTTGAATGGCGTATTTTTTTTCGGATTTCCTTATTCCTGGCGGGTCTGGTATCTTTGCAAATACATCAAGCTAGGGTTTTACCGACTCTATTGAAGACATCAAATCAGGTTGAGAGGAAAAATGTGAGGGAGAATAAATTTTTTTAGCGACTGCAAAATGGTTTTTTATTTTTCATTGCTCATAACTTCGACTCCAGTTCTTCAGTTAACGGCATCTGGAATATTGGTTTTAATCATTATTTCATGCCTTTCAATCATATTTCAATGCGTTCAGATGCTGAAGAACTGTTCAACGAGCGTAAAGATCAATTTTCTCTGGTATGAGCAGTCGAGTCAGTCCAAAACTATGAGGGATAGCTGCGTAAGTTATGCATCTGCGGCAGCAAAGGTAGATGCTTGAAGATGTATTCTCCTTTGAGACATCCCGCAATTTAATTCTCTTCAAATTGACTGTAATGTTTAACTCAAGTAAATATGCATTTGATGAACCCTCATAGGGTTCCCCTGCTTGTCGATTGACATTAATAATGGATGCCCTCTGATTTCTTATTAGTTGCAGATCAGATCATGTATTGGGTTGTCTTTAATTTCTCTTAGAGATTCAATCCCACTCGAGCCTAAACTCGTAACTAATGATCCCGATCAATCGTCTCCACTCTCTTTGTCTTCTATAATTTTTGGCATGGCCGGAATGAAGTTGCGAAAGAGAGATTGGTGAGTTTTGGCTCAAAAATTACTGTTGAAATGTGTTCAAGATCATGAGAGAGAGAGAGAGAGAGAGACAAGTGCGCAAGAAAGAGTAGTTGAAATTTAAAAGAAATAATGGCTGCAAATTTTCCAAGAAACTTCTGAATTTATTTTGTTGAGGAACATTAAATTCGCCGACACAAGTCTATGTTAAGTCCGGTTACGTTGTACTAACCCAAGATTGAGATCGAAACATTAATCGTAAAGCCCTAGGTGAAAGTTATGTGACTATCGAAGCCTAATCAAGTCCTACGGTGGGTTTACGATTAAGTTTTGAGGCTTGGATTAAGGGTTTGGAGGCTAAAATTCATTTTTAGAATACTAAAATAATTTTCGTTTGCAGCAGGATATTGTGTGACTTAGAACGTGGATGCTCTGCCTAATTTGAGGTGAACTTTTAAATTATGTTTATTTATCCATTTATCCAGCCAACATAAATTGGAAGGGGAGCTGATTAAGTTATTAAGATAGATAAAGGACTGAGTTGGGCAAAACTTAAAGACATAGTAACCAGAGAAGGAACATACCATATTTACGGTAATTACATGTGCTATGTGCTGTAGATCTTCTTTGCCACGTCCAACCAGACCTCTATGCCTCATGACGAAGACAGCAAGAGATCCAACCTAAATCAAAGATCAGAGCCAGCGGTTTGATTAATTATAGGAGATGAGAAAGAGCAATACCATGCCAGAATAGCTTGAAAGAAGATTCACTTGGCATTCCATAACACTGAGTAGGTACATAGGCAGATTTTTAAATTTCAATATATAAAGATATGAACTAATCTTCCTTTTGTCAAAGCAGCGTGACACTCACAGAAATGTTTCTTTTTCATTTATACTTATTGTTTCTCTTTTGGCGGAGGAAATCCTGTAAAATGATATTCAGAAGTTGCAGAGGTTTATTTTGAAACAAATTTAATAAGTTTGCAGCTGACAAATTTCATGAAAACTGTAAAAGAGGAAGCTATATATTAAATGGTGAAATACAGGAAAAGGAGAAAACATTAAATCTTCTGAAGACAGATGAATAAGAAATGGGGAAAAAATAAACAAGAAGGAAATAATTGCAAGAACATCAACTTTGCTTGTGTGACTGCATGACAATGAACCTGATTTTACTGGATTCCTCTACTCTATTGCCATAAATGAATTAAACCAAGATTATCTGGCAGGTTATATGTAACACCCCGACCCCAAATTATCCCATGTTTTAATTTATTTAAGTGGAATTGAGAAATTACCCGTGGGATAGGGGTATTTTAGTCATTTTCTTATCCGGAAGGAATTTGGGAATTCCGGTTGTACCGTTGCGTAGAGCACGGTGAGATGAGTCCGTAGACACGTAGTGGGCTCGAATCGGAGTTGTAACGAGAGAGATATGATCAAATGAAGCTCAGTGGCATAATCGTAAATATTTTGAAGTGGGATTTTTGGTTAAAAGACGGAATTGCCCCCTGTCTCTCTCACACTCTCTCTCTCCCGCGCGTCGCTCTCTCTCTCCTCTGGTTCGCGACAGCCACCGTGGCCGACCACGTTTTGGCCGGCCGTTCGCTCGTCCGGCCACCAAAGTCGACGGGGCCGGTACCAAAATGACCGGGCCGCCGTCCTCTTCCTACCCCAGCCAGGTCTCGCCGTCAGCCGTCGAGATTTCGCCGGAAAATCGAAGAGAAAAGCTCGGTTTCGCCCGAAACTTCGCCGGCTTCGTTCTCCGTCGTCCGGCCGCCATTTTTGGCGATCAAGGTATGGAAATTCATCCCTTCTGCATGATCTAGCTGATGGTTGGGTAGGATTGTATTGATTTTGAGCCTAGATCATCTGATTTTCGAGTTAGGGTTCGGCCGGATTTCGGGATGAGATTCCGGCCACTTCCGGTCAGTTTTTGGGGTACGTCCACGAACAAAAGTGACTCCAAATTAGGTGTATTACCTAGGGTAGGAGTCTGGGCTCACGATTTGGAAGTTTTCCGGCGATGGGTATCGCTTTGGACACCCACGCGCTGCCGGCGCGTGTGGCGGCGCGTGGGCACTGTAGCTGAGGGGCATTTTTGTCCCATTGTGATCCTCTCGATGTCACGAGCGCGCAGGTGTGCTCGGATCTCAATTTGGGTATCGTTAGAGTCCCGAACGGATATCGCATATCGCGTATTTTCCGGGTTCGCTGGGTTTGGACCGTTGGATGGTCCTGATATTATAATATGTTGATCTAGGTATTACCAGGATCGTGTAGGATTCGACGGATCGTAAAACGGAGTCCCGGATACTTCGGAAATGCCAACCCTGGGGTTAGGGTTTAAGTATCCGTCCGATTGTGCGATCGTGAGCAATCCGACCGTCCGATCTGGACCAAACTTGCAGGACATGTGTCCTAGAGCTTGTAGAACCTCTAGGAACTATCGGATCGGAATTTGTAGGTTGTGGGCCCCGCAGGCCCGTTTGACCCTAGGTTGACCGTGAGACTCCCGAGATAGTCTTACCTTTCCTTGAGGGTTAGGATGACCTTAGTGACAGGTCTTGAGCGCTGTTGAGTTAAATGGATATTGTGGGTTTAGGATATAAATTGGTGAATTTAAATGGGGGGAGTTTATGGAATATTTTGTTGGTTGATGTTATTGTATGATTAGAAATTATATGATATATTTAATTAATTGTGTGGACGTGTAATGATATATAAAGAGATTGAATGTTAGTTTACAGTGCTATACGCACTACCCCACGTACCCCTCATATTGTGATTAGGCTCAGGCCCAAGTGATAGTATGATGGCTGGTGAGAATGTAGCCAGGCCCAGTGTGAGGTCGCACGCGTCTTTGGGTTAGCCGGCGTGTTGACAGACCCCGTACGTGGCCGGGTGCGTCCCGACGTATGAGTGGGAGTTATGATTGTGTGAGGGCTGGTGAGAATGTAGCCAGGCCCAGTGTGAGGTCGCACGCGTCTTTGGGTTAGCCGGCGTGTTGACAGGCCCCGTACGTGGCCGGGTACGTCCCGACGTATGAGTGGGTGATATGATGGTATGATGGCTGGTAAGAATGTAGCCAGGCCCAGTGTGAGGTCGCACGCGTCTTTGGGTTAGCCGGCGTGTTGACAGGCCCCGTACGTGGCCGGGTGCGTCCCGACGTATGAGTGGGAGATATGATGGTATAAGGGCTGGTGAGAATGTAGCCAGGCCCAGTGTGAGGTCGCACGCGTCTTTGG